TTCTGAATCAACTTCGCGATGTTTCTGAAGACCTGTGGCGCTCCTCTGATAATATGATTGGCACTACTAACGTCGTGGTCGTGATTGCCAGATTCTCCTCCTACTTTCGGCGGTTCATCAAGTGGTACTGCACCGATTCCGCCGATGTCCTCAATACGTTCTAGGCCACAAGCTGCACCACGTGCAGTCTTTACGAGACGTATGGCCTGCTTTGCTGTCTCTCGAAGCTGCGCTCTGGCAGCGTGAACTCTCATGACTGGAACTGGAACTGGTTCTGGTTCTGGCGGCTCTGGTGGATCTGGCACTGGTGGATCTGGTACCGCTACTATGGCACTTTCCTGGTGATCAACGTCGGGTCTCTCTTCTGGTGGGTCGTCCTCCAGGCCGCCGTTCGACAAAGAAATCCAACCTGTTAAGAAATCGTCTATGTGCTGGTCTGGGCTGGCCTCCGCGGCGGCGTGTTCAAGCGAATCTACTAGCCACGGGTTTACATCGAGAGGCTCAAACAAACTTTCATTGTCGCTGGAATCACTTGGCTGTGGTAGCCAATCGTCTACACTATCGGATGCCATGCGTTGCCAACCGCGTTGGCGCTGAGCCAAAGTGGCTGCGGGAGAGAAGCTTTCCTCCCTCCCGCACAGGGGGCCGGAGAGTCTTAAGATATAGCTCCAAGACAGCCCAAGAGGCCTCTAAGTCGGCCCAAGCGCGTTCCAAGATGGCACCAAGACGGCCAAGAGGCTCCCAAGAGAACTCCAAGACTGCCCAAACGCGCTCCAAGATGGCACCAAGACGGCCTCCGAAGGCGCCACAGACGGGTAGGGTCCCCTCAGACGCCCTAAGAGGCCCCAACGAGGTTTTAAGAGCCCCCCTCTTTATTCGGGTGGGCAAGGAACACTCACGTTCCGCGGGCTCCGCGCTGGCGCACCCCCCCCCCCACTACTTGAAAACGAACACAGTTTCCACGAGTGCCCTTTTGACTTCGAATATGATATACGACTCTGCATCCTCTTCGCTACCACTCCTCCCCTGAGGTTTAACGTTATCGACTTTTTGTCAAAACCATGAAGTGTTTGAAAAGTATGTGAAAAGTATTTTCTAGAAAAATAAGACCTGATCTGTTCCTACGTAAGAGAACTTCTCAATTGTAGTCCCCAGAATGGTGTTATGGCACGCTTTAGGGTCTTCAAATGGCCGTCTCCGAAAGAGAGGCAACTCCCTCAATGGAAAAGAACCCTTGCAGGGGCCGGTAAAGAGGGAGCTTGGAGGCAGGGTTTATACTTAAGTCGGGCATGTCCCCCTACTGGCCGATTTTGGATGTAAAATTTCAAAATAGCCCACAAATGCCCTACACTACTCAAGAATGGTAAACGAATCTTCCCAAGACTATGTTTAGCCCTCCTGTAGAGGGACAGGCCCGACTTAAGATTCTTCCAACATCGTTCATGAGTCTTGGGTTCCCCCTGGTTCTCCTCCTCCTCCTCCTCCTCCACTGATCCGCGGGCTGGCTGGGCCACAAGCTGGCCGCTGGGCCGCGAGGGCAGGCGAGCCGAAGTCTCAAGGAGAGAACGGACCAGGATGCCGCCCTCCTCCTCCTCCTTTTCCTCTTCCTCCTCCTCCTCCTCCTCCTTCCCCTCCTCCTCTGCCTCCTCCTCGTCCTCGTCCTCCTCCTCCTCCTCCTCCTCCTCCTCCTCCTCCCAGCCCTCATCCTTCTCGTCCTCCTCCCCCTCCTCCTCCCCATCCTCCCGCTCAGTCCTGCGCTTGCTTCGTGGATGAGGCCCTCGCCCGCGCCAGGTGCGACGGGAGAGCCTCCCCCCAGCTTCAACGAGGGGCAACGATGGGGGGGGGGGGGACTGGCACAGGGGGAAGCATCGACCTGGAATCGGCGACCCATCGCCGACAGATCGGCGATGAGCCCCCGATAGCGCAAACGCACGTTGCTGGGCGGGGTGGGCCCTCGGGCCCCTATCGGCGATCCATGGGCGATTGGGAGTCGATGCTGCCCTCCTCTGAGCCCATCCCCCACCTCGATCGTCGCCCCTCAATCTTCGGGTCACAGCTCGGCTCTCCGGCGGCCCTTCGGGACGACCCGGGCACCCCCCGAACACGCTCTCGGCGAGGCGCAGCTGCTGGAAGGCATCACGAGGCCGGATATCCGACGACAGCCGACGACAGCGCCCAAAAGCCTCGAACCTCGACGCCTCGACGCCTCGATCCTCGAAGCCTGCCCCCTCCTGTCGCTGCCCCTGGTCCTCCGCCCGCCCCGGTGGCACCGCGGCCCGTGAGCACCCCGCGTGGGCGCCGTCCTCACGAGGGCGGGGCCCCTGTCGTCAGCTTCTCGGCAGACTCCCCGACGCGCCGGGCCCCCCCCCCCCACTCTCGAGGAGGGGGGGGCTGTCGGGCCCCAGTCGGCGATCCATGGGCGATTGGGAGTCGATGCGTCCCCCCCTCTGGGCCCATCCTCCTCCCTGCTTGTCGTTGGCCCTGGCCCCCCGCCCGCGCTGGCGCATCGTTGCCCCGGTCCCCCTTCCACCCCTCATCGTTGTCCCTGGTCCCCCCTATCGAGCCGATCCCCCCCATCGTTGCCCCTGGTGCAACGGTTTCTGCCGTCTGTCGGCCCGTGATGGAGCGGCCACGGCTTACCCCAGATGTCCCTCGAGGTCTCTGGACTTACCTGGATTTGCCTTGAGATCTACCTGCAGTGGCCTTGATTTATCGGGCTGGATCCCCACGAGCCGATGATCGAGAGGTCGTCACGCCCTTAGGGACACCGAGAAAGTACAAACGAGTCTACATCAATCAGTGCAGATGCGCCTGTGTTCGATGCCCTTTGCGTGCCAATCAGCACGCATGAGGTATGCCTGAGAAGGGTCACGACGTGTGCCTTCACTCTGAGTTCCAGCGACTGCGTCGGGGCCCTCTTGAGCCCAGACTGCTGAGCTAGCTAGTTTTAGGTCGGGCCTTGCCCCCTTCAGGGGGATTTTCAACGAACAATAAATTTACCCCAGTGCGGCCCTACCTAGAAGTTGGAGCCCCTAGGAAAGAAGCATGAATCTCGATGTTATGATATGTCATGATATGCCATGCTATGCTGCGCTATGCTATGTTATGCTATGCTATGCTATGCTGCGCTATGATGTGATATGATATGCTAAGCTATGTCGTATCATGCTGCGCTGTGCTATGCTAAGCGATGCTATACTATGATATGCTATGATAAACTGCGCTATGCTATGCTATGCTATGATATGATATGCTGTGCTATGCTATGCTATGCTGCGCTATGCTATGCTATGATATGCTATGCTATGTTATGCTATGCTGCGCTATGCAATGCTGTGCTGTGCTATGCTGCGCTATGCTATGCTATGCTATGATATGCGATGCTATGCTGCACTATGCTATGCTGGCCTATGCTATGATGTGATATGCTGCGCTATGCTATGCTACGCTACGCTATGCTATGTTGTGCTCTGTTATGCTAAAGCTCAGCTAAGCTAAGATGAAGGTGAGCTAAGCTAAGATAATCCTGAGCTAAGACGAAGCTAAGCTAAGCTACGATGAACTAAGCTAAGCTAACATGATATTAGCAATGCTAAGCTAAGGGGACGTAACTGGAGGAAGCGGGGCGGATACTGGGGGAACCGCCCGGGCCGGTTCCCACTGCCCGGCCCTTTAAGCCAAGAGATAGGCAGAGCCTAGGTAGGGAAATACTCAAAAAGTGTTCAAACATGGTCGAACAATACTCGAAAAATAGTCCCCGGACTATATTTTGATGATGTTTGAATCTCCCCCCTGTAGAGGGGCACGCCCGACTTAAGGCTACGTCGGGGCCCTCTTAAGCACAGACTGCTGAGCTAACTAGTTCGCTCGGCCATCGGACGTTTGGGCCACATCTCCGAAGAGATGGCTGTTCCACTCCAGGCGATGTTCCTCAACCTCGGCCTCCAGGGCCAGATCTACATTGAGCCCAAGAGAGGCCCCGGACACACAAATAAATACTCCGGATTCCATAATAAAGTAGGGGGGGTCACATTTGGGGGGGGTCTGATTTGAGCTGTCTTGGAGGGTTCGGGGGGGTCTGGGCAAAGGGCCGCCCTTTCATGGATGGTCTGGGGGGGTCTAAAACTTCTCGTCTGGGAGGGTTGTGACCCCCTCCCTTCTATGACGAAATCTGGAATACAGGAAAATAATATGCGTCCCCATATTTTCCAATATTTTTGGGGGCCCCTGGTTGCGGGGGCCCCTTTGGGATCCCCAGGGTGCGGCAGGCCCAGGGCCCGGCCGCGGCCCGGGAGCTGGCGCCCCTGGCGAGGAGGAAGGCTCGACGCCGTGCCCTCTTGGCGGACTTGGCGCCCGAACTCTTCGGGGATCTTCTGACCCGGGTCAATGCAGACCCGGGTCAATCAGGCCTGCAAAATCCTGCAAGATCCTGCACCCAAACCCGGGTCAATGCGAAGGATCCTGCAGGATCCTGCAGGATCCTGCACCCAAACCCGGGTCAATGCGACCCTGGCGCTGCAGGATCCTGCAAAATCTGGCGCTCTGGCTGACCCCCGTCTGCACTGACCCCCGTCTCGAGGCTCCCGAACTCTCCGAAGCAAGCTTGGTCCGGGTACTCCAGGTTTCGTAATAAAGGGAGGGGGGTCTCATTTCGGGGGGGGTCTCTTCCAAGCTATCTTGGAGGGCCTGGGGGGGTCTGGGGACGATGTCTTGGAGGGTTCTCCCACGGGGGAGGTCTGAAATGGCTTGTCTTGGAGGGTCCAGACCCCCTCTCTTTTATTACGAAATCTGGAGTAGGGCGTCTCCCACTGTGCTCCGGGAAAAACTGTCGGCGGTGGACAAAAAACCTCCCTTCAGTAAGCCTCCTCGTAGCGGAAACGGCCTGGGACCGAAACCGACGGACCTGGACCTGCAGCAAGCAACGGCCGTGACGCCCTCTCGCGAACCGAAAACGGCCAATTCCTTAATCGACGTGTCAGGGCAGGAGGTGGAGCCCGATCCTCGTCGAGGTAGATGTTGTCCAACTTCGACACAGCGGAACCGACCCGCATGTCGACCTCGTTCGCCACGTCCTTGATGTCGTAGTCGTCTTTGCCGACGAACTTGGCCAGCGCTGCCGCCATCTCGTTGCCCACCGTCTCGGAGAGCTCCTGGGTGGCCTGCCACGCGGCCGCGCCCTCGCTGGCCTTGGCCATCACCAGCAGGCGCGCCAGCTGCGTGATCTTCTTGGTGTCCTGTGATTGCGCGGTCTCTTTCTCTCACCAACAGAGAACATGACCGGTAAGGTTGAATCAAAATGAACAACTCTCCGTCGCCAGATGGTTTCTTCTGAGCCACGACCGCACCGCAGAGCGGGGGGGGAGTTAGGAAGGTGCACGCCACTTCTCGACGGCAACCTTGCCCCCACTCGTGACCGAGGAGAAGGGGGAGGAGGAGGTGGGCCGCGGACGCCGTGGCGACCTACAAAACTTTGGACGCCCGACATGGGTACGGAAAGAATGGGTACAATGCCCAACAGCAGTTCCTGTTCATGTTGAGCAGGACTCGCTGTCCACGCCGCCGCGGCCTGTCCATTTGAGACAGAGGCCCGCCTGCCCAACAGCGGCCGCTGTCTGTTTGGGACAAAGTTTGTTGTTGGGCATTGTACCCATTCTCCTCGTGCCCATTTCGGGCGTCCCAAAAAACGACCACTCGTGACCGAGGAGGAGGAGGTGGGCCGCGGTCGCCGTGGCGACCTGCAAAAAGGCCCCGAGCTTTGCGTCGGGGCCGGATGTGGCGCAGCGCTCCTTGGCCTCCTCCGCGGCCGCCAGCCGGGTCTCGATGTCCTGCTCCACCTCTGGGCGAGCGGGGCCCGCGCGGAACCCCGCCGCCACCGCAGAGGCCTGCTGCATCGCTCGGACGCCCGCTCCTCGTGCGACTTGTCGGTTTCGTTCGTGTGTGTGTGTGTGTGTGTGCGTGTGCGTGTGCGTGTGCGTGTGCGTGTGCGTGTGCGTGTGCGTGTGCGCGTGCGCGTGCGCGTGCGCGTGCGCGTGCGCGTGCGAGTGCGCGTGCGCGTGCGCGTGCGCGTGCGCGTGCGCGTGCGCGTGCGCGTGCGCGTGCGCGTGCGCGTGCGCGTGCGCGTGCGCGTGCGCGTGCGCGTGCGCGTGCGCGTGCGCGTGCGCGTGCGCGTGCGCGTGCGCGTGCGCGTGCGCGCGCGTGCGCGCGTGCGACGGCGTGCGCGGCAGTGCGCGCGTGCGCGCGTGCGCGCGTGCGCGCGTGCGCGCGTTGGCGCGCGTGCGCGCGTGCGCGCGTGCGCGCGTGCGGCGCGTGTGCGCGGTGTGCGCGTGTGCGCGTGTGTGCGTGTGGTGCGTGTGTGCGTGTGCGTGTGCGTGTGCGTGTGCGTGTGCGTGGGCGTGTGCGTGTGCGTGTGCGTGTGCGTGTGCGTGTGCGTGTTGCGTGTGCGTGTGCGTGTGCGGTGCGTGTGCTGTGGCTGTGCGTGTGCGTGTGCGTGTGCGTGTGCGTGGTGCGTGTGGTGTGCGTGTGGCGTGTGCGTGTGCGTGCGCGCGTGCGCGCGTGCGTGTGAGCGCGGTGCGCGCGTGCGCGTGCGCGTGCGCGTGCGCGCGCGCTGCGCGTGTTGGCGTGGGCGTGTGCGTGTGCGTGGTGCGTGTGCGTGGTGCGTGTGCGGTGCGTGTGCGTCTGCGTGTTGCGTGTTGCGTGGGGCGTGTGCGTGTGCGTGTGCGTGTGGGGAGTGCGTGGTGCGGGTGCGGGTGGCGGGGGCGTTGTGCGTGCGCGTGTGCGTGCGCGTGCGCGTGCGCGTGCGCGTGCGCGTGCGCGTGCGCGTGCGCGTGCGCGTGCGCGTGCGCGTGCGCTTGCGCGTGCGCGTGCGCGTGCGCGTGCGCGTGCGCGTGCGCGTGCGCGTGCGCGTGCGCGTGCGTGTGCGTGTGCGTGTGCGTGCGCGTGCGCGTGCGCGTGCGCGTGCGCGCGCGCGCGTGTGCGCGTGCGCGTGCGCGCGGGCGCGGGCGCGTGCGCGGGTGTGTGTGTGTGTGTGTGTGTGTGTGTGTGTGTGTGTGTGGGGGGAGGGGGTCATCGTCTTCGGCACCGCCCGATCCCGAGGCTTTGCCTCTTCCTGGCCTTGACGTGAAGCCTCTCCTTCTCTCCCCCCCCCTCTTTGTGAATTCAGGCTTCGCGCGGCCCGCTTAGCTTCGACCGGAAGAGGTGCGCCCTCGACCCGCGAATCAAACGAGTGTGTGTGTGTGGGTGTGTGCTTTGCAAGGCAAGGCGGTCCAACATGCTCCTGGATGGTCCACGTGTGCTGCCGGCCTCTCCGAGAGACAGGCCCACGCCCGCGCGATGCCAAGACCGCCAACCAAGAAGGACAACGACCTCGCCGCCGCCGCCGTCGCCGCCGACCCGGCGCCGCACCGACGATTGCAGCCTCGTGGGGAAACCATGGCGATATCGGAGTCCTAAAAACTAGAGGCCTCTTAGATGGGGTCCGAGTAGATGGGGTCGGAGGATCTCACCGCATCACCGGTACATCGGAGATGCATCGGCGATGCATCGGCGATGCATCGGCCATGCACTGGTGGCGTCGGCGACGCATCGGCGACGTCCGCGTGAGGAGAATCGGGCTCCGCATCGAACCGCATCAGCGATGCATTGGCGATGCGCTGCGATCCTCCGTCCCCATCTACTCGGACCCCATCTAGGAGGCCTAGATACACCCAATCTCTCTGAAACCCTCCTCACACCGGGTCCATCCGGGAGGGTCCTGGTGCCTGAGCAGCCCCGACACCCCCGGCCTCGTGAGCTTTTTTGGAGGCGTGGACCCCCCGAGGTCTGCACCCGTTCCTCGGGACCGGCTGTTGATGCTGATTGTTTGTTATATAGAAAAAAATATGGCGACAGCGCGCGGCCTACAAGCCAGCTGCTTGACAGTGACGCCCCTGTTGGCGGAAGCAGGCTGGGAACGCGCAGCGACGTAGACAGGCTCATATCGGCCCCCAGCGCAGCGACGTAGACAGGGTCATATCGGCCCCCGTGTACTTGGCCCGTTCAAGAGAACCATCCCCATGAGAGGCGGTGCTCGGCTTGACCAGGAGGCTCTGCCCTCGGCGGGGTTTCTCTGCGGGGGGCAGGCCTGCGGATAGACAAGCTCAGTCTGTAGGCCAATGCAGTGGAGCACGGCTCGAATATGCGCGAAGTGCCGCCATCAGTTCGGTGCCTCGGCTACCCTCCGCGTGAGGCGATGCATGTGGCACTCCTCGAGGCCACAGGCGTCGAAGTCGGGGCCCTCGTCGGTCTGCTCCACCTCAAAGACGCCCATGTCGTGCAGCTTGGCGAAGAAGCTCCAGGAGAAATCCCGGTGTATGAACATCGAATAATTATATCAGGGTCTGGGGGCCGCAGAACCGATCCAGCGTCCAGAGCAGCAGGTCGTGCGCCTCCTCCAGCTAGACGAGCTCGACCGAGAGGATGACGTCGACCTCCTCCTGCAGGAATGCCGCCCTCCCCGGCGACGCGCGCAGCCCCCCCTCGCCCCACGACAGCTCGCGCACCCTGGAGGCTCCCGCCCCCGGCCGACGGGTCGCCGAGGCGCCTGCTCTGGCCGAGGAGGCTCGCCTCCAGCGGCGGGATGGCCCCGCCGCGGTCCGTGCACGTCACGTGCGCACCTCCCCTCCTCCTCCTCCTCTTCCTCCTCCTCCTCCTCCTCCTCCTCCTCCTCCTCCTCCTCCTCCTCCAGCCTCCCCCTCCGTCCTCAAACCTCCCTCGAACCCAGCCGCGCGAGCCCGTGCCCGAGGCGCCCCGGGCCGCTCCCGAGCTCCAGCACCCGGCGCCCGCGGAGAGCCGCGCGGCGCGCGGGGGCGCCCGCGGGTGCCGCAGCAGCACGCGCGAGGCGTTCCAGATGCACTCGAAGTCGCGCGGAGGAGGGGGAGGGGGAGGAGGAGGAGGAGGAGGAGGAGGAGGAGGAGGAGGAGG